GGTCTCAAGCTGCTGACCTCGTGATTCACCCACCTCAGCCTCCCAAAGTGCTGAGATTACAGGTGTGAGCCACCGCGCCCAGCCTGATAGAGGTCTGTTTTAAAAGTGAAACAACGATGACACGAAGAATGGCTTTCACATCTCTCTGGTATCCTTGGACCCTGCCACTTCTTTGGGCTCCAGAGATTTCCAGCTGCCAGGATCTGCATCTCTGCATGGAGGTCTTTCTGCATAACTGCAGAAACCTGGTCTGCCCAGTGGAAAGGCAGAAATACTTGGGAATTTACACTGCTGTCTGCAGCCCTCAGCAATGGCTGGGTGGAGGGAATTTGTGTAGAAATACCCCAGCTCCCTCACCTCTGGAGTGGACAATCTGGGGCGCATGCCTCTCAGGGTCTTCCCATAGATCTAGTCCTGGTCACCATGGAGGTAACTTAACATGCCTGTTACTGGTTGCCTTCCCTGTGTTAGTTCTTTTCCCTTACCTCCTTCCCAAATAAGCTACTTGCATTTGAATCCTTGTCTCCAGGTCTAGGGGCACTCACACTGAGACACAGCACAACAAAAATTATAATATGAAATGCTCCCCATAGGCTGATTACAGGACTTAGGTAGAAATCTTTATCCAGGCCAGGTGCACTGCTCATGAGAGCCAGACTAGCAGGTGTGGGATGGTGCTCTCCTTTTCAATCCCGTCAGCCTCTCTCTGTAACGGTATGCGGAACTTTATCTGGGGACATTGCAAAAGTCCAAGCCTGAGCACTGCCCCTGTCTGAGCTTCCCTGTCCCCCTCCTGCTTTTAATTGGCTTCCCGATATCGCCCTTGCCTCCTTCCAATCCATTCTCTGCCCAGCATCAACAATGATGCTTCTTTTTTTTTTTTCTCTCTTTTTTTGTGAGGCAGAGTCTCACTCTGTTGTCCAGGCCAGATTACAGTGGCACGATCTTGGCTCACTGCAACCTCCACCTCCTGGGTTCAAGTGATTTTCCTACCTCAGCCTTCTGAGTAGCTGGGACTACAGGCATGCACCACCATGCCCTAATTTTTGTATTTTTTAGTAGAAACAGGGTTCCACCATATTGGACAGGCTGGTCTCAACCTCCTGACATTGTGATCCACTTGCCTTGGCCTCCCAAAGTGCTGGGGTTACAAGCGTAAGCCACCATGCCCAGCCAGTGATGCTTCTTAAAACACCACCCATTGTTTCACCTCCTACTTAAAACTCTTCCATGGCTTTCTGTCTCATTAGAAGAAAACAGAAATTTGTACAAGGCCCTACGTGCCTGTGCCCCTGCAGGTCTGCACGCCTGCCTCCTTTCAGACATCTCCTTTTGGGCTCCTCCTGACCCAATCCCCACTTTAGCCAGGCTAGCCTACTTCCACTTCCCCAACAGCTACCCCTCACCTGGGCACATGCTGTCTTCTTGATTGACATGCTCGTGCCCTCCACTCATAACTGGCTAGTTCTTCTTGATTATTAGTTCCTGGCTTTGACAGCGTCTTCCCCAAGAGGACTTCCTCAATGACGGTGAATATCAGTCTCTGTCTTGGCCCTTGCTTGTTTCCTTTTACTTACTGGAAACTTACAATTGCAATTACTTTATCTATTTACTGGACATTGGTTGGGTTCTTCCCTAGAACAGAGGCCTGACAGGGCAAGGATCATGCCCATCTTGCTCACTGTTATATCCCCAGGACTTAGCACAGTGCTTGGCACATAGCAGACTCCTAGAAAATTCAGATGAATCTGGTGGAAGGCCCAGCTAAAATCTCACTGTGCAGCCACTTCGGACACGCCCAGCTGACACATCCTTTCCCTCGATGCCTGTGGCAATGATCATCAACATCATTCTTTAGATGGTTAATCCTCTGTGTTTCATCACAAAACCACTGTTGCCTTGAACTATTTTTTAATCATGGTTTGCTTCTTAATAATCTCTGACACCTATCCTAGTTTGCAGATTAAATAATTCATTTTTGTTTTGTTTTTGAGATAGAGTTTCTTATCACTCAGGCTGGAGTGCAGTGGCGCAATCTCAGCTCACTGCAACCTCCACCTCCTGGGTTCAAGCAATTCTCCTGCCTCAGCCTCCTAAGTAGCTCAGATTACAGGTACCCACTACCATGCCTGGCTAACTTTTAGTAGAGATGGAGTTTTGCCATGTTGGCCAGGCTGGTCATGAAATCCTGACCTCAGGTGATCTGCCCATCTCGGCCTCTCAAAGTGCTAGGATTTTAGGTGTGAGCCACCATGCCCCGCGCTAATTCACTTTTTAAAGCTCCACAATATTTGACAGTGTATTTTTTAAGGACAAGGATATTCTCTTATATAATAACATTACAATGCTCAAAACCAGGAATTTTAACATTGATACACTATTATCTAATGCACAGTTCATATACAAATTTAATCAAATGGCTCAACAATGTCCTTCATAGTAGCCACTCACCTCCCTACCATGATTCAATGCAAAATCACACACAGCACACTTAGTGGTCTCTTCTCTAGTTTCCCTCTCTCCCTTCTCTCCCTTCCTTCCCTCCCTCTCTCCCTCTCTCCCTCTCTCCTTCTCTCCTTCTCTCCTTCTCTCTCTCTCTTTCTTTTGTCTTGTTCTATCACCATGCTGGAGTGCAGTGGCGTGATCTCAGCTCACTGCAACCTCCACCTCCCGGGTTCAAGCCATTCCCCTGCCTTAGCCTCCTGAGTAGCTAGGATTACAGGGACCTACCACCATGCCCAGCTAATTTTTGTATAAAAATAGAGACAGGGTTTCACCATGTTGACCAGGATAGTCTCAATCTCTTGACCTGGTGATCCACCCACCTCGGCCTCCCAAAGTGCTGGTATTACTGGCGTGACCCACCTCTCCCGGCCTCTAGTTTCTTTTTTTGAGACAAAGTCCTGCTCTCCTGCCCAGGCTGGAGTGCAGTGGTGCAATCACAGCTCAGCAGCCTTGACTTCTAGGGCTCAAGTAATCCTCCTACCTCAGCTCCTGAGTAGCTGGGACTACAGGCACGCACCACCAAACTTGGCTAATTTTTGTATTTTTTGTAGAGAGGGGGTTTTGTTTGCCATGCTGCCCAGCTGGTCTTAATCTAAGTCCTAGGCTCAAGTGATCTGCCTGCCTTGGCCTCCCAAAGTGTTGAGACTACAGGTGTGAGCCATTGGCTCTGGCCTGTTTAGTTTCTTTTAATCTGGAATAGTTCCTCAGCCATTCTTTATCTTTCTTGACCTTGACATTTTTGGGGAACACAGTCTGGCTCTTTTGTGGAACATCTCCCACTTGGTTTGTCTGATACTTCCTCCTGATTAGGTCCAGGTTAAACATTTTTGGCAGGAATACCACTGAAGTGTTGTTTCACAGTTTACCTAACCAATCTGTTATTCTTGGAAATTTGTGTAGTTTCAACTTTTTCCTCATGTTATAATCAACAATGTAATCTTTATACATCCTTGTAGCCAAATCTTTGCACACGTTCTTATCTATTTCTTCAGGGTGTTTTTCTTTTTTTTTTTTTTTTGAGTCGGAGTTTCACTCATGTTACCCAGGCTGGAGTGCAATGGCGCAATCTCGGCTCACCGCAACCTCCGCCTCCTGGGTTCAGGCAATTCTCCTGCCTCAGCCTCCTGAGTAGCTGGGATTACAGGCACGCGCCACCATGCCCAGCTAATTTTTTGTATTTTTAGTAGAGACGGGGTTTCACCGTGTTGACCAGGATGGTCTCGATCTCTTGACCTCGTGATCCACCCGCCTCGGCCTCCCAAAGTGCTGGGATTACAGGCTTGAGCCACCGCGCCCGGCCCAGGGTGTTTTTCTAGAAGTGGAACTGCTATGAGTAAGGGCTAGGTGTGTTTTTAAGATTTTTGATATGTATTGCCAAACTGCCTTCCAGAAAGGCTGTGCCAGTTTACACTCCCTCCACAGTGAATGAAAGCAGCAGTTTCTCGGAGATTTTGCCAATACTGGATCCAAACAGTTTAAAACACCCTTCTTACAGCCGTCTGTACTTCTCATGTTGATCTGTCTTCCATTCCAGCTTCTTTTATGTGTAACTTGTTGGCTGTAAGCACCTACAAGTAGTGTAAAGAAAGGGCTTGCATGTCTTACTCATCTTTGTGGTACCTAACTATGCTTCCTACTTAATAGTTACTCGATAAATGCCAAAGGAAGTAGCACATCTTTGAACAATGCTACCTTATATAATTATCAGATTCTGCTTTGACATGCTAGGCTACTGTCTCAGTTCTGGCTGCTGTAACAAGTACCATAGACTGGGTGGCTTATAAACAACAGAAATTTCTTTCATGCAGTTCTAGAGGCTGGAGGTCTGAGATCAGGGAGCCAGCATGATCAGATTCTGATGAGGGCTCTCCTGGGTTGCAGGCTGCTGAATTCTCATTGAATCTTCACATGGTGGGAAGAGGGTGAAGGAGCTCTCTGGGGTCCCTTTTATAAGAGCACTGGTCCCATTCATGAAGGCTCCATGCTCATGACTTAATTACCTCTCAAAGGTCCCACCTCCTTGGCTGGGCACAGTGGCTCATGCCTGTAATCACAGCACTTTGGGAGACCCAGGCAGGCAGATCACAAGGTCAGGGGTACAGTCACAGCCTGGCCAAGATGGTGAAACCCCGTCTCAACTTAAAATACAAAAAATTAGCTGGGCGTCATGGCAGACGCCTGTAATCCCAGCTACTCAGGAGGCTGAGGTAAGAATTGCTTGAACCAGGGAGGCGGAGGTGGCAGTGAGTCAAGATCGTGCCACTGTACTTCAGCCTGGGTGACACAGCGAGACTCCATCTCAAAAAAAAAAAAAAAAAAGGGAAAAAAGAAAAAGTTCCAACCTCCTTATACCATCACATTAGGGATTAGAATTTCAATCTGAATTTTTGGGGAACACATTCAGTTCATTGCAGCTACTAAAAATGTTATTAAGATTGATATCCAAAAATCCAGCAACCAGAGCCCCTACTTACCCAGACTAGCAAGATTCATTCTCAGGACCTCTTGGGAGCACCAAAGAATCTTTCCATTTTGTCGTATGGATCCTGGGCAGGCTCTTCACCTTGGCTATCCAGCCCATGGCAGATACTTGCTTCTCGGCTCCCCTCCAGCCCTAGCTCCAGGGGCTTCTTTGGGCTGCTGCTCTCCTTGTACTTACCTCTGGGTCCCAGGAGGGTCACATGCCTTTCTCTCAATTCTCCAATCCCAGCTAGGACAGGCAATCATTTTAAGCTAAAGGCTTAGAAATAACAGACAGGAATTACAATGCTGATAAGGCAAACATAAAGCAGGATGTGAGCTATAAATGCTATTACCTTTTTAGCCCCATAGAGACTCCCTTAGGGACCATTTTTTCTCCTTTGAAATATTCCTTTCTTCCTCCCCTGCTCACCTGAGAGGACACCGTGTGGGGCACCCTTGATCTTGCCTCTTTTTCCCCCTCCTGGCCCTCCTGGGGTATTAAGAAGTGGGGCCTTGGCAGGGTGCAGTGGCTCATGCCTGTAATCCCAGCATTTTGGGAGGTCAAGGCAGGTGGATCACGAGGTGACTCAGGAGTTTGAGATCAGCCTGACTAACATGGTGAAACCCTGTCTCTGCTAAAAATACAAAAAGTTAGCTGGGCATGGTGGCAGGCACCTGTAATCCCAGCTACTAGGGAGGGTGAGGCAGGAGAATTGCTTAAACCCGGGAGGCAGAGGTTGCAGTGAGCCGAGATTGTACCACTGCACTCCAGCCTGGGTGGCAGAGGAAGACTCTTAAAAAAAAAAAAAAAAGGTGGGCCTTGAGAGGGACGAGGTCATGAGAATGGAGCCCTCCTGAATAGAATTAGTACTCTTATAAAAGAGGCCTGAGAGTGCTCTTTTGCTCCTTCTGCGATGTGAGGACAAAGCAACAAGACACCATCCATGAAGTAGAGAGCTCTCACCAAATCTGCCGGTGCCTTATCTTGGATTTTCTGGCCTCCAGAACTAGGAGCAGTCCATTTTTATTGTTTATAAATTACCTAGTCTGGGCCGGGCGCACTGGCTCAAGCCTGTAATCCCAGCACTTTGGGAGGCCGAGGCGGGTGGATCACGAGGTCAAGAGATCGAGACCATCCTGGTCAACATGGTGAAACCCAGTCTCTACTAAAAATACAAAAAATTAGCTGGGCATGGTGGTACACGCCTGTAATCCCAGCTACTCAGGAGGCTGAGGCAGGAGAATTGCCTGAACCCAGGAGGCGGAGATTGCGGTGAGCCGAGATTGCGCCATTGCACTCCAGCCTGGGTAACATGAGTGAAACTCCATCTCAAAAAAAAAAAAATAATAAATTACCCAGTCTAAGATGCCTTGTTGTAAGGCCCGAAAGGACAGGGATGCACATTAACCAGTGTCTCTCCAGGCTGACCTGCCTCCCACCTCCCCCAAAACAGAGGTCACATTCAGCCTGGACTGGAGGGGACTCAGTGAAATCGTGGAGCACACGAAGGCTGTGGAGCTTGCAGCTTGCTTTTGGCACGTGGGGGCTGGCTGCAGCTCTCCAGAGCTCATGCTAGGTGGCATCCTCTCTCCATGGAGGAGACTACGACAGCTGCTTGGAGTAGTTCTCCAACTGTATCTAAACACTCCTGCACAAACTCATTTCTAAGGCACATCAACTCACAGCTTTGCTCTGAGATGCCACTACAGGAGGGACTTGAGCTGCTGCAAATCAACGGGGTAAATTAGATATTATTTTCTATTTTATGTAATTGTAAAAAAATCAGCCTGTGTAATGCATTACATTTAGCATATAACTGGCTAAGACTTCAATAAGGGAGAAAATATATCCTCCTTTTAATGGGGCAATGAAATATTCACATGCATATAATGGACTAAATTATAAGGCCAGTAAGTGCTTTATTCCAAGGCTTCAAAAATAAATGGACTGAGAATTTCCAGAGCAAGAGAAAGTTTATGCTGTTGCAGCAGTAAGGTTGAAACCCTGTGAGCTCACTTCACCTATGAGTCATCTGGTTTTAAGGGCTCCTAATGTTGCATTTAATTCAGCCTGCCTCCTCCTCCTCTCTTAAGAAGGAGTTCTACCTTTGATAATATTGTTTCTATATTTCCAATACAGGCTACCATGCAAAACAACTGACTAGCTTTAGATATGTCATCACCTGATAGATGCTGGTCATAAAAAGACCACAAGTGATGGATTCTTTCCTTATCTATATTAGCAGAAAAGAATTGGCTTTTAAGTAAATTACAGGGGAAGTGGCCAGGCATGGTGGGTCATGCCTGTAATCTAAGCACTTTGGGAGGCCAAGGTGAGTGGACCACCTGAGTTCAAGAGTTCGATACCAGCCTGTCCAACACAGTGAAACCCCATCTCTACTAAAAATACAAAAAATTAGCTGGGCGTGGTAGTAGGTGCCTGTAATCCCAGCTACTTGGGAGGCTGAGGCAAGAGAATCGCTTGAACCCATAAGGCGGAGGCTGCTGTGAGCTGAGATCCTGCCATTGCATTCCAGCCTGGGCAACAAGAGCAAAACTCCATCTCAAAGAAGAAAGTAAAAATTACTGGAGAAGAGGGGAGGGTTTTTCCTTCCCCTACTCTGTAAGTACAGAATTAATTTTTATATCTTTACTGTGTGACTTCCTTGCCAATTTGAACATTTTTCCTTCATTTCAATCTATTGACTATTTCATCACTGAACCTGTCACAGAGGACTTAAAAAAAATATGTGTTTTTTTTTTTTAACCCATGGCCCTGAAAGGAGGGTGTTAAGACTTTTTATGCCTGTAAACCACCTCTTGGGCAGGGGTGGGGGCGAGGGTCTTTGGACATTTCGATTGTTACTTAAGAGGTTCACAGAAGTCAAGATAAGTGTTAGTTTACATATTGCCTGGGTAGGGTGGAAGTTACAGACCTCAGTTACTTATTACAAGTCGCAGGGGCCAAGATGGCGTGGGTTTGGACTGCTTGTCTGTCACATCAGGGTTAGAGAGAGCAGTTTTAACAGAAAGCCCAGGTATGGTTGAGGTATGCAGTTTTATGGGGCTTTTACCATGTCACAAACCAAACAAAAAAAATGCCCAACTTTCTGTGTGCCATTTTTGGGTTAAACATCTTGTGTTTTACTCAGTCTCAAAATGGAATTGAAGTTGGTTTGCCTAGTTTCCTTTAAAATTCTGGGACCCATTTAACTACTGGGTTGATTATAGAAGATGCCAGATTTGAGGTCATTGGTACAATCAGAGAGCTGGAAGTTCTAGGGAATGAGAGACTGCACTTGATTTTCTGTAACACGTTGACTTCTGACATTAGGAGACCAATCTCCCCTAATTTTTTTTCCTTTTAAAATCTGACCTGGCAGAGATGTGGGAATTTTGATAGTTACCTAGTATAGTATAATTTAGCAGCCTGGAGGCCTAGGTAGGACTGAGTCATGCCATATGTGGTACAAGTTAATAAATATGGCCAAATGCTCACTGTGTCAGGCATGTACTATGTTCTACAGAGAAGGGAATCAAAAGATGAAAAAGACACATTTTAGGCCTTTGAGAAGGGAAAGCAGACACCTAAATAACTAGCCTCACCACTCAATCAGTTGACCTTGGGCAGCAGACCTCCTAATTCTCTGATGTTCAGTTTTCTCTATATACAATGGAGGCAACATGTCCTTAGACAGTACCTGCTTGGAGGATTGGGTGAGGTTCTGGGTACAGTAATGGGATGGATACTGGAGATGCACTGATACTGGAGATGCATGATACAGGTACATGCACTGAAAAGCTGTCTCGTTAAAATTTGTAACACATCTACTGTGGAAACCCTCCTAACTGAACACTGTAGCAGGGAAGGAGGACTTTCCTTTTCACTAAAAAAGACCGTGTTAAATTGTTGCAGTGACAGGAGTTTGGCAACCACACGTGGCTGAGACAATCAGCAGGCGTGTGCATTTCAGCAAGAATCGTTTTTTCTGAACTTGCAGTTGAGAACTGATGCAAGACAAATGATCCCAGAAAGTCTCGTGACAGAGCTAGGTGGTTAGATGTCTGCAGGTAACAATCACCTGGCAAAACCAACCAATTCATTAAGATCAGCCAGTTCATCTGAAAACCGAAGGCTACAAAGTCACTACGTGCTGCTTGGAGGTCGGTTTTTTTCAAGCGTGAGACTTCTACTACTCATCACATTTCACAAATACTATCCGTTAGGATGACTATAAAGTTTTCAAAATGAGCTGACTTTAAAGAAAAATATTAAGTCACAAGAACAGCAATAGGCAGTTTACGGCATGTTAAAACTTTTTTTTTTTTTTTTTTTCCTTGAAACAGAGTCTAGCTCTGTTGCCCAGGCTGGAATGTAGTGGCGCCATCTCAGCTCACTGCAGCCTCTGCCTCCCGGTTTCAGGCGATTCTCATGCCTCAGCCTCCCGAGTAGCTGGGACTACAGGTATGTGCTGCCACATCTGGCTAATTTTTGTATTTTTAGTAGAGACAGTGGTCTCACCATGTTGGCCAGGCTAGTCTCAAACTCCTAACCTCAGGTTATCTGCCCACCTTGGCCTCCCAAAGCCTGGCCCATAGTAAAACTTTTAATGTCCAATTGGTAACCACTGGGGTCCACTGATGAAGGGAATGCAGAGGGAAGGAAATGTTAACTGGAAACCTCATACCTCCAAACTTGCTTTCAGCTCACATTTCTCCTCTCTTGGAGTCCTCCCTGGGTGCCTGAAATCACTTCTTCCCTTGTTAGCAAAGTCCTTTGTCTGCTTCCACAATGACCCTTACTCCATTGAATGGAGGGGGTTTGCATCTGGTGTGTTTATCTTCCCAATGGTCAGCTCCCTGGGAAATAGCCTTCAACTCCCTGCAGGGCTGGACACATCAAGGTAAACTCTGAAGGAGAAGAGAATAAATGAGAGAATGGAAGCTCTATCTGCAGCTGCTTCCTGAGGATTAGAAAGCTTTGAGTCAAGGAAACGGGTGGAAACTCCAGTTCCTGGACTATTCAGAAAGCCAATTTGATTATTCAGGCAAAATGAATCCATATTTTAGAAGGCAGATAAGTGTGTGGCTTTCCAGCATAGTAGACTTCTATTTACAAGAACTCTTACCCAGCAGCTTTATCCATGGCCGATACAGGTGCTGACAGAAGAATTAGAAGATTCCCTGTTTCTTTTGCTTATTTATTTATTTATTGAGATGGAGTTTTACTCTTGTTGCCCAGGCTGGAGTGCAATGGTGTCATCTTGGCTCACCACAATCTCCACCTCCCGGGTTCAAGTAATTTTGCCTCAGCTTCCTGTGTAGCTGGGATTACAGGCATGTGGCACCACCCCTGGCTAATTTTGTATTTTTAGTAGAGACCGGGTTTCTCCATGTTGCTCAGGCTGGTCTTGAATTCGCGACCTCAGTTGATCCACCAGCCTCGGCCTCCCAAAGTGCTGGATTATAGGCATGAGTCACTGCTCCCAACTGCTTTTTTACTTTTTAGAGACAGTCTTAGTCTGTCACCCAAGCTGGAGTGCAGTGGTGCAATCATAGCTCAGTGCCACCATGCCTGGCTAAATTCTAGATTTCTTTTGTAGATTCAGGGTTTTGCTATGTTGCCCAGGTTGGTCTTGAACTCCCGGGCTCAAGCAATCTTCACCCCGCCCCCGTGTCCCCACCTCAGTCTCTAAAAGTGCTGGGATTGCAGGAATGAGTCACTGCACCTGACTTCTTTTGCATTTTTGGCTCAGCTGCTCCTGCGTGGAGTCGGAAGCTGGCTGTCTTTGACGTATTCCCATCCCTCCATCCTCACCCACTCCTCCATTTGGATTTCCCTTCTTGCTCTTCCTTGAATCAAACCCATTTTTCAAGAAGACCAGCAGCTGTTAGTGCAGTTAATTGAAAGGAATAAAGCCATAACGGTGGAATTATGAATGAAAATGAAAAACCCCTTGAAATCTTAATCATTTAGTTTGCATGCTTTGCCTTCTTATAATACAAGTTCACCCTGGCAGCCACACAGAACAGTTACCACCAAGCAGTGATGGCCAGCTTGTGTAAGCCAGAAATTCAGTGCACCGACTCTTGAGTCAGACTGATGGGTTCAAATCCTGGGTCTTCTACGTATTAATTATGTGACCCTGGGCAAATTATAAAACCTTTTTTTTTTTTTTGAGATGGAGTCTCACTCTTGAACTCGCCCAGGCTGGAGTGCAATGGTGTGATCTTGGCTCACTGGGTTCAAGTGATTCTCCTGACTCAGCCTCCTGAGTAGCTAGGCGCCCACCAATATGCCGGGCTAATTTTTGTAGTTTTTGTAGAGACGAGGTTTCACCACATTCAGGCTGGTCTTGAACTCCTGACCTCAGGTGATCTGCCCGCCTCGGCCTCCCAAAGTGCTAGGATTATAGGCATGAGCCACCGCGCCCAGCCTGTAAGTTTCTTAACCTAGTGCTTTATCTATAAAATAGGCCTGTGTTCCCTACCTCATCTGGATATTGTGTTCAAGGAGATAATCCATTTAAAAGACCACAAGAGCCTGGCCTACAGTTGGTGTTGAGTAAACGCTAGCCATTATCATTCCATTCTTGAATTGGAATGTCTCAATTTCCTCATAGAGGCATAAAAACGTGATGTATAACCATTTATTTGGGTAGGCAGGATGCAACAGCCTGTAGTGGAGACAAAAATAGACAGGCTAACATTTGCTGAGTGACCATGCCAACTCACTTATTCTGGGTCTGTTTCACATCTGTAAAATGAGAGGGAGAAGTAGGGGTTCCCAGGATGGAAAACTTAAATGTCTGTACAGGCCAGATAGATAAAAATCACTAGTGACTTGGGCTGGGTATAAGACAATAGGGAGTTACGGTTAACTATACAGTGTGGTCAACCGACCAAGATCGACAGAACCCTGGAGTTGGTTAGAAAGAGCAAAATCTCAGAAACCACCCCAGATCTATCCAAATGGAATCTGTATTTTAACAAGATCCCCCATGATTTGTATTGCTCATGAAACTTGGAGCCGGGCGTGGTTGGCTCATGCCTGTAATCCCAGCACTTTAGGAGGCAGAGGCAGATGGATCACTCGGGTCCAGGAGTTCAAGAGCAGCCAGGCCATCATGGCGAAACCCCGTCTCTACTCAAAATACAAAAATTAGCCAGGGATGATGGCACATACCTGTAATCCCAGCTACTTGGGATGCTGAAGAACAAGAATTGGTTGAACCTTGGAGAAGGAGGTTGCAGTGAGCCGAGACTGGGCCACTGCACTCCAGCCTGGGTGAAAGAGTGACCCTATCTCAAAAAAACAAACTAACAACAAAAAAACAACCTTGGAGAAAATTGTTACGGCGCATAAGCCATCTAAAGGCATTCAAAAAAAAGTTTTTGTTAATGTTAGCCAAATAAACGTCTGGCTGCATCAGGCCCTATGCTGCCAGCAACTGACGACTGTGGTTGGTGGAGGGCTCTAGGAGATGCCAGCTTTAGGGGTCTCGCTGTCTGAGAGGGATCCTTTCATTAGAAGTTAGGAATCCACATACCTATATAGAAAAGACCAAGCCTGGATTGCTTAGAACAGTAATTCCTGGAGTGGTAGGTGCCTGAGAAGTTACCTGCTGAGCTCTCTGCCTTCTGACAGGTAAACTGTTATTGCCCCCATTTTGCAGACAAGATAAATGAGGCCCTGGGAGACTCACTGACCCAAGTCTAGACACAAGGAAGTGGTGGTAGTGGGTATACTCTCCCAGGAAAGAAGACAATTTTGGGTTGTTAAAATCAGTGACTTTCTAAGGCCTGGAAAGTTTATTAATTTCTTTATATTCCCCAATGCATAATAATTGTTCTGTTTCTCTCGGCACCTCCCTGCGACTTCCTGGCAGCCCTGGGGACAGAGGGTTTCCTCCTTATGGACAGAGAAGGCCCAGAGCCGGCTTCTGAACGGATATCCGGCCCGCAGGATGCAGAGGAGGCAAAGGCTTCATTGTTCCTTGGGGCCTGCTTGCTCCGCCCCCAGCCGTAGGACACTCGTGACTGATCCCGGGTGACCGAAGACAGCCCATTTCCCAGGAGTGGGGCCTTCGGAGTGGAGGGAGCGAGGAAACGGGGCTGAGCACAGACCTGGAGTCCGATGTTCTCAGCATAACACTGGAAGGAGCTAAGAGCCCCAAGATAAATAAGATCAGAATTTGAAAACGCTAATCCCACGCCGGCTCGGCGCTGGCCTGGCTGTTACTCATTAACGCTCCCCACAGCGGGGACTCCAGCGACTCCGTCTGCGTTTTTATTACTTAATCTGGCTGGGTTTGGCTGCGGGGAGGCTGGTGGATTTGCTGGCCCGGTGTGCTGGAAGGTAGTTTATTCACAGAACTAGCAGCTTCCCACGCTGGCCCCGAGCCTCGGAAGCCATCCGTGTGGACCCCGCGCCGCGCCCCGCATCCCGCGGCCGCCGGGGGGCGCTCGGGTCGCGCCAAGAACAGCACGGGCAGCCAGCGCCGGGTCGCCGCGGACCCGCAGAGCCCTTCGCGCCCTGAGGAAACAAAGTGCATCTTTGTCGGCGGCCCGGAGCGCCGCGTAGGAGACGCTGGGCAGGGGGAAGGCCGGGTCGGCCGCCGCCGCTGCGTGCGGGGACCCTGGGCGCGCGTCACTACCCCGGGACTCAGCCACTCGCGGGCCTGGCGTGGCTCGGAGGAAGCGGGCAGTGGCACGCGGCCGGACTGGCGGCCCTCCCACCCCGAGCACGTCCCGAGGGGCAGCCCGGGACCCGCACTGGCTCCCGCAGGGCCACGGCGCTTCGCCCGCCGCCAGCGGGTTCTGGATACTCCGCTTTCCTGGCTCGCGGCGGGGCGGAAGCCTGCGTGGGGGTGCTGAGGGCTTCGGCGCGGCTGGGCCGCCTCGGAGTCGCCTGTTGGCCGGGCGGTGCCCGCCTTCGCTCTCGGTGCCGTCCCGGGGCGGGTCCTCGCTCCGGCAGCCGCGCGCCAGTTCAGCTCAGCCCCGGCGCCGAGCGGCCGGGGAGACTCCAGCTCCCAGCAGGCCCCGCGCCGCGAGTGCCCAGGCAGGAGGCGCGCCCGGGCCGGCGCCTGCGCAGTGCGGCCGCCCGAGCCAGCTAGTACCACACCCCCGGGAGGGACGGAGGGGAGGCAGAAGCATCCGAGGCATTGAAGCATCCGAGGGAGCCGGAGGGGAGGAGAATGGAGTGACAGAGACACGCGGAGGGTGGGGGGGAGGGGGGACACAGAGGGAGGAAGAAGCGGCGGCGGCGGCGGCTCCTCTTTGCAGAGGGGGAAACTCTTGGGCTGGGAGCAGGAATAATGCGGTAGGCGAGGCGGGCTGCTGGCTCCCAGCTCCGGCAGCAGCGGCGGCAGCCCGAGCAGCGGCAGGAGCAGCGGCAGCACACCAGGCGCTGACAGCCCCGCCGGCCGGCTCCCTCGCTGACCGCCGACTGTCAATGGAGCTGGAAAACATCGTGGCCAACACAGTCTTGCTGAAAGCCAGGGAAGGTAAGAGGCAGGGCCGCCTCGTGCCCGGCGCGTCCGCCTCGGACCGGGGTGCGGGTGTCGGGCGGGCAGCGTGCGGGATGGGGCTGCGCCCGTGCGGGATGCTGGCTGTGGGTGAGTGGGTCGCGGGCAGGACACTTCGGAGAGAGGCTCTGCAGACCCTTCAGGATTCCTGCCCGGGGGCTCGGAGGATCTGGACTTGGGCAGAGAAGGTTGCAGGGATTTGGATGCGAACAGATCTCCTAGTTTCCAGCGCTCGCCCTGCAGAGCGTGCCATCTCGGCAGTTGTGGAAAGGTCAGTTGGAAAAGCATTCATTCGGGGAGCGACGGGCAAACATGTACATAAAATAGTGTTTCAAGTCGGCCCGGGATGGTTCTGTGAGTGTGAACTGGTGTGTGTGTTGGGGGGGCGGGGGTGAAATGAGCAGAAGCCAAGTCTTCGCCTGCGCAGGCTGAGTTGATAGAGACTATTGCTGGAAACCATCCGCTGGGATGTTTCTTAGGGAAATCCCGTCGTGTGGAAGGAAGCCTTTTAAAGGCAAAGTCAGATGTTGAGGAATTAGGCTGTTCATAGAATGATCAAAGGATGGCTGTACAGATCACCTAGAAAATAAATCCGTATTTCAGGTTTTTCTTTTCTGGGGGCGTGATAACTGAAATTGTTTGATTTTGGCTCAGTTATGAAAAGAAAGGTAAGTGTGCTGGTGCTTTAGATAC